GTGTACATGTATTATATTGGTACACGGGACGGCTATTTTCGCCGCTGGAATCGCTTTTAATTTTGTATGCTTGTTTATTCCTAATGGAAGGAAGCGCCAAATTGACGGAGGCCGATTTATCCTTTTCCGAGAATTGTTATCATTTCGTATTCTGGTGCGCGTCGGGGATTCAAATAAATTCGCGTTAGCAGCAGTGTCGAATATTGTTACTCTTACATTGGTAGTTTTTTTTTTTTTTTTTTTTTTTAATTTTGTTTTTAAGAATTTTATCAATTCTTTATTAGTACAAATCGATGATTTTTGGTATAAAAGAAAAACAGTCAGTCTGAAGCTGCGATAAGGAAGCGGTGGATTCAAAGAAATTTATCCTAATAAAATTTATCTATGCGAGGCCGAGGAAAAGACATCAATCAATAAAAAATTTAAATCTGAAAGTCAAATAAAAAAGTGAAACTGCAATTGCCGGTTGAAAAATATGGCATTGTTAGCGTAAACTTGTAAACTTGATAACTGTACGTATGATAAATCATCTTGTGAGCTTTAAGTATTGTTATTATTATTCTCATTTTATTGTTTTGTTTCGCGAAAGATACATAGTGATAAAATTAACGAGACCTACCATACTTATATGATAGACAGTAACGTAAAACCAAACGAGTTTTGCAGTTATAATTTTTTCATCCCACATTTGAACTACTGCATTTTTTATCTTTTGATCGTATTACCCCTTTTTTATACTACAAAATACATACAAAGCTCTTGGTATACTTTGAATTCGCGTGCCCTTCCATATTTTCGATTAAATTATCTTGTACGTCAAGTACCCGAGAATTTGTTGAAAAAATAAAATACTTTTTTTAATTAACGAAGTAATGAGCAGAATAACAAAATGCATGCACATCTACACGTGTGCTCTTGATGAAAAAGAAAAAAAAAAAAAAAGGAGAGAAGGAAGGCTCATAGGTATGTGCTCGCGCACGGGCGGATAAGGTAATAAAGTGTCGCGGGCACGCACGTGCAGCCAATCGGCTACTGGAAAACACACCACGAGGTGTATAGCAGCAACAGCATCGGCTCGATATGTACATATGAAGTAATAATGCCCACGCCGATATCGTCTTAATTGCTCTCAGGGCCAGTCGAGAATCGCTGCTGCCGGCCTCCACTCTCTCTCTCTCTCTCTTTGGCTCGTTTAATTAAATTAGCAATTAAAATCCTGCCGGGTGCACACACGCGAGAGCCTCGTTCAAACTGGTCCCGATGCGTCTATCGACACGCTCGACGGCAAAACGCCTTGATTTGCGCCCGATTTGTGCTGCCCCTGGCTCGAGGGGGATCAGTAGAGGGGGAAACTCGATGTTCGCGCATAAATACACGCTGTTTAGCTGGTACTTTTTGCTAATGGACGGAGATTACGGGGCGTTCGTGAGAACGATGAGGCTGATATTGTTATTGTTGTGTGGGATTTTTGCGAGTATGAGAAACCGATGCCGATGCGACGACGCATCAAATTTCATTTAATCGTTAGTTGATTCTGGTTATAGGCACTAGCATAATATACAACGATTATGTTTGCTTATGAAATGAAACGTTCGACGATGGTTATGCGATGATTAATTAGTTAACATTTTATACTTGATATTCGAATTACATTATCAATTTCCGAGTAACCTCGTAAATAAACGTAATATACTATTATACATGGACGTGAAATTTTGTTTGTTCTAAGCATATTAATTTTACGTATGTGTACCTACGTGTTGCGTGAGCCAATTTTCGTACAATTACACACATAATATAATTAATTACACGCACTTTGTGAGTTTACATACAATTATCATAATACATGTTTATCAATGGCATTTTTGGGGCTGATAAAGTATTAACATCGTTTGATTATTTTTTATTCTTTGCCAATCAACGTAATACAAAAGAAAAAAAAATTTTTTCAATGATCCGACAATATCATGCCTAGGCACGATGATGCACCGCAGAGTATAAGAGAGCCAGTATCATTGTCGTCACGTAAGCCCAACACCTTGTCATTAGTCTCGCTACGACACCACTCGTCCGCCCATCTTCCTCCTCTCGCTTCCACGTATGCACACGCAAACATATATATACATGTACACCTACCCACGTCCGTTCTCCGTCTCTTTCGTTCCTCCTTACAATCATCATTACGACCGTCGTTCGTGTGTCACACGCTCGCAGCGGCACCCCGATTTTTTGCTCCGTTTTCCTCGTCCCACCGGCTTGGGTTACTTTTGATTCTTACATTTTGTCCATACGTACCTAATATATATATATATACGGGGGAAACAAGACTGAACCACTTTGCACATCTTCACAAACTCTAAGAACCAATTCAAGCTTTTACTGTATATGTGGCACAAGTGTGTATAGGTACATGTATGTGGAGAAAAATACGCGATGTGAGCCAGCTTTGTGCAACTCTCTTTCTCTCTGCCACAGTCCGGTTTTTGACGAACGACGCCGTACTTACTCATCGTCTCGCAAACAAGAGCCAGTGACTCCCAATCACCATTAGTCTAACGATGATCCTTGAGGAGATACTTTCGCGGGCGGGCTGTTTCCGCTTTACATGCATCGTGTTACCCCCCCCCTGGGGCGTCGTTTTCTATCTTCGTGTGCATCGAGAAAATTCAGGCTGATTGACAGGTCATTTGTATACCATACGACGGCTGATGGTGTTCCGGGAAAATACAAGTGTACATGTATTATATTGGTACACGGGACGGCTATTTTCGCCGCTGGAATCNCACCGGGTTTTTTTTTTTTTTTTTTTTTTCTTTACATGATTTCTCCGAGTTTTGTACTTCGTTCCGACTCGCGGGGCACACGCGAAGTGGACGAGCGCGTGCTTTCATCTTTACCGAAGCCCATACTTTCATACACATGCTGCAAAATGAGATATGAGCGATCGACCGCTGATGACGTTGCGATCGATGAAAAAGCTTACACCTATGTGTACTTTTGTACGAAGTAAAGCTGCAGAAATCCCGACAAATGGTCATTTTGTCGTTTTCCGGGGACATTCACCCCGAGCGATGATTAATCACTCGATTCCCACGGCAAACCCGAATGTGCACAGTGTAAAAAAAAAAGAAAAAAAGAAAAAAAAAGCTCTCCTTTCTGTGTGCAGTACACACGTGTGTGGGGTACCTGTGCGAACACTCTTCACCGAAAATCCAGCGGTGAAGCGGGCAGCACGGCTCACGCGCACTTGCAGTGGCCTCCTCCGCGAAAAAGGGGACAACGACACCACCGCACGTCGACGACAAAGAAGGAGCTCAGAGGAGGAGGAGGGAGCAAAGTCCCGGTGGCAAGAAGAAGCAGCCAGTGTTTTTTTTTTTTTTTTTTGCACCGGGTAATTGGTGTTGGCTCTCTCGGCCATTGTGTAACCCGGGCACCGGTGGGGTATAGACAGGCACACAGGGCCCTCCCCTCTCGCTCGTACGTATACCTATCGGGCCAGCGCGATCTCCAGACGGCTACTGCTCTTCCCCTATGACGCTCTCGGCATCGAGATAAAATTCCCTCTCTCTCTCTCCCTTGCTCGCTGCAGCCTGTATTATACCTTACGCGGGCGAGCCGGCCTTAAACTTAGCCCTCCTTTGCGATGTTGCATCGGGGAAGGACCTCTTCCTCCTGCATGTCCTGCCGTTCTCGCGCTCGGCTCTTTCGCTGTTCTCTGCGGTTGGCGTGTGCACCTCCGTACAAGTATACCTACTTGCGCAACGAACGAGCTTCTTCTTTTTTGTTTTGCTTTGGGACTGATAGTTTCAAGTGAACAGCGAATTTTCGGCACACGTATCCCGGGTTTGACGGGGTTGATTGGTCAGGTTTGCTCTGTACACCCTTCTAATTTGCAGCGTGATTTACTCGTTATATTATTCTATACGTACTAGCTTGACTCACAGAACAGCAATTATGGCTTGAAAAAACTTCATTTCTTCGCCAACTTGGAGATTATCCCAACAACTGTAGAAGTGGTGTCTGATGTGGTGGACACTTGGAAAAATTCGAGGCAATCTAATACCGCGGTGTAGCTCGATAGTTCCTAGTGTGTTATTTTAAACCAATTAACAAGATTCGTTCAGTTTTGTTATTCGCTGATCAATTGTTATTTAGCAATGTAGTGATTCTGTGTTTTTTTATTTTTTTTTATTTGAAGAGAAAAACAGTACGAGGTAAAACCAGTTACGCTAATTAACGGGCGGAGGTCGTGATTTGTTTGTTCGTCGATATTGTCTTTTTATTTTTTCCGGTTGACGCGGTTTCGCAAAATGTTGACATAGCTGCTTAAATAGTTTGTCATTTTTTTCTCTGTAAAGTCGTTGCGACAACAAGGTTTTAAACATGTAACATCTAAGATCGGTGGCGTTACTTTACTCAATAAAATTTTTAGTTTTAACCTAACAAATATGAATGAAATTTAGCGAAGCCAATGTCCAGCAGTTGTAATTTATAAGTGTGATGAAAATATCGTAATAATATTTGTAGACACTAACGGGCTTTGCTGATATATTAATCGTTATTGATAAAACAACCTTGAGTTTATTTAAAATACCTACAGCTCAAGAAACTGATAGTAGTTATTTCCTATGAAAATTCAAACTGTATTGGGTATTATTCATTTTTTTGTTGCAACATTTTGACGTCGTTTATGCCTACATTATTCAAAACAAACATTTAATACTTACTGCAGCCGAGGTTAAAGTCAACTAAAATCAAGGACACTAACTTATTCTAACAAAAATATTTATTCATCTTTAAAGTAGAAACAAGTACAACATTCCATAAAATAGTATATTTCGTAACATTATAGTTTCCAAAATTCGGAAATTTTTTTCGAGACTTCGAGACGAAATTGCGACTTGACCTGAGTAAGTCTCCTCAGGAGTTTTTTTTATTGAAATTGTCTCGTCTTGTTTTGAAGTAGGTGTTGTATACAGGTCTATAGCTGGTACTGTTCTTCAACGCACCACGAGAAACAAAAGACAAAATAGTAAAAAATAATCATTGATGAAACGTAGTTTTAGTGGAGTACCGTTTCTCACCATGTCAGTAGTATTGAAAGACAACTTTGGCACAGTACCATTCGCTGACGCACCACCAGCAGCGATGGTGAACAATGTCGAAACAGTGCCATTTTTCAAAGCACCAAACGTAATCGAAGGCAACTCTGGCATACTGCCGTTCTCGCAGTACTGGTAGTTTTGCATCTTAATCTCTGAGCTCAGTCTAATGACTCGAACATTCCAATCGGTGTAGCAGACGAGCAAGAGGTTACCTTTGCCATCAAAGACCGGCGAGCTGTAGAACCGCGTCGATGAATCTACCGTCCACTCCGTCTTCAGTTCAGTTGCATCGAAGGAAGGACTACTCAGCTTCCACGAATAGACAGAGTTGGTATCCGATTCTGTGAGATACATCGTGCCATTGCTGGAAATGGCCATCCCGTGCCATTGGCGAGGGGTTTCGCTCAATTCATTGGCCTCTTGGCGGATCTGATCCTTGAGCACGTGGGTAGGCAGTGTAAATATCTTTTGTGAATTCAGTGTAGTGTAGTAGAGCAGCCGGTTACCTTCCCCACGTGCTGGTGCCAGTGCCAGCCTGTCGATTCGGTCGTTCTGTTTGACCTTCCACGAGGCGACCTTCCGCAATGAAAAGACGATTATGTCTTTGTCGTTGTCATCGTGGATGTCTAAGTTGCTGATGTAGGCAAAGCCGCCACCCTCGTGGTCCAGGACGATGTCGCTTAGCAAGGCACTTCCAGGTCTGGCCACACTTGGTGGAAAGGTGTAGTTCAACAACACCTTACCCCTGCACTTGAGATCAAGGATCACCAAACGGGGTGGGCACACAATTTTTTTGGTGGTATTAAAAGGGAGTAACACGTACGTGCCGCTGTCCAAGACCCACATTCTACCCATTGGGTCGATCTCGATGCTCATAACTGACTGAAAACTGGAGCAGCTGCCGGTGGCATTCTGTGACTTCCAATTGGGATATGGTTTGAGTAGTGGTGACTCATCCATGGGCGAGGCTTGGGCAACGGCTAGTGTCACTGGCACACCGCCCTTAACGCGGGGTATGGCCAAATATATACTGCCGTTCCAAAACTTGATGTGCCCTAACTTGCTACTATGTATCACATAAGTCATACCCCTAGGCGCTTGTAGGTATGCGTAGTCCCACTCAAATTGGACCTCAAGTGGCTCTAGGGCCAAGATCAGGATGCAGAGTGCACTAAACAGTATCCCGTAGAGAAACATTTTTTTTTTTTTTTTTTTTAATGAAACAAAATAAGAATATCTTAAACTGCCTAGATCAATTGATTTTGCGTTGAACTAAATACAATGTAGCGGTCACGATAGCATAGTGTTTTGGACTGCGCTTCTTATAGCTCGGGGACTAGGTAACACTTTCTCACGATTTCGAGACGCGGTATTTACTCACTAGGCTCCGAACACCGTAATAGAACAATTCTACGACGTCTGAGGTAATTCTTACTTTTTAATCTGAGATATGTAAAGGATACAAACAAACATACAAATTATACTATCCAAAAGATAGATAACAATGTATATTTGACAAAGTTAGACACGTGTTTCAGTGAAATGAGCGTTTAGTACAAGGTTAAGGTACTTTAAGTAATAGTAGATAAGAGTCCCTCTAATTGAGAATGAAGATAAAAATAGCTGGATGATTTTTGTTTTGTTATGTGTACTTGTTTTTAAGAAAAAGTACATCGCAATAATTTTATCGTTATAGTACACACCTTAAGGTTAGAGCGAGTGTTTTTAACGTGATTCTGCACTTTCCGCATTGTGTGAAAGTAAACTAGCAACAAGCACATCCGGTATGTGCATCCATGACAAAAGTACTGCACATCAAACTCGTTGGCCGATCAGTCATAGAATTATGTCAAGTCCATGATACTAATTATAGGAGCCGATCATCGATGATAAGAAAGTCACATTACTATTACCACCATTGCTACCTTTCTATATCTATATTCATTCTATACTTGCACACGATCGCTACTTATCGATTCTCGAAACGACTCTGCCCATAACTCCTGGCCTTCGACTATCCATTCTAATTATTCGTACGAATCTCCCTACAAATATACGCAATATTGTAGATTTTAACTGATAATCTACTGTGTAACCAAGTTGCTCTTGAACACTGCAGAAATAAATAGTAAGCTGAAACTTCATTTTTGTACATTAAAAACCCTAACAGGAGTTGAATTTTAATAAAAAAACAAAAACCTTAAAAACTCTTTTCCCATATATCAGTACACAACAGCTACCACTCAACTCTTGGATTTTTTATTTTTTTTTTATTTCTCGTAATCCTTGCACAAGCCCTTTCCTCGCTCCAACAGCGTACATAGTCCTTTACACAAGTCGAACCGATGGATTTTCCTCTCGCTATTGTGTTTCAATTCGACAGAGTTGTTTCAAACCTCCGTCAACGCGACGGCGTTTTGTTTATTTGTTAGCTTCGTACGCGCGAATTCACCTCAAAGGCCATCACATAAAAAGTACATTTACAAGCCCAGTCCTTCCCCCCCCCTCTTTTGGGATCCCACCAATGCCCCCCCTCCCGGTGCATTTACTTTGGCGCTAAAATAATATTCCTCCACTCGTTATCAACTAGACGTTCATTTAACCAACTCCGCGTGGGGCTTTCGTTTACCTACGCAACACAAATATCAAGTTTCAATGCCTCGCGCGATTCGCCGAACACACGATCGCAATCGTACGGACTTTCCTTTCGCTCCCGGGAAAACCTGCGCTGCAGTCGAGCCAAAACGGGCGGGATTGACACGGCGCGCGAAGTGGGATTCGCGAGGTAGCCACCAACTCCGCTGATCACCACCTCTTTTATCAGCCTCGATGCTCTCCTTTTCTCTCTTGTTTTTTTCTTTCGCGGATATGCATGCGCGTCCCGGTGTTTTATGTAACCGCGCCATAACTTACGTTAGAACCGGTTCCCTCGCCGCGCCTGTTCGCGCTTTTGCCCGGCTGTAAGGCCCTGCCGGTGGTGGCAATACAACAGAGGAACACCACGAGGAAGAAAGGAGTACGGAGGAGCGTGCAAGGGCTTACATTCACTGTTACTCTGCCTCTCTCCCGTTGTATAACGCCGTCCATTGTCTCTTCTCCTCCTCCTCCTCTTCTTCTTGTAGATTTCTATAGTTGAGGTGGGAACGACGACAACTTCGACGAACATGTCGGAGAGGACGTGTACCTATACCTGTACTCTCTTTGTTGCTCGTTGAAATCATATGTGACGTTTAGGAAGAACATATAGGGGCCATTTGAGGGCATTGCATACTTACAAGTCCAGGCTGTGTTTCGGAAAAAAAAAAAAAAAAAACCACTACATGATACATTTGGTCGTAAATTTTCTTCAATGCTTGCCAGGTATAAAATGTGGTCAAATGAATTGTCTGGTTGAAATGAAATTCCATGGTTTTTCGGATTATTGCAATGCTTCCGTAAAATATAAGAATAAAAGCAAATATCTGATATGCCAAGCAAACAATGCCCTCTGGAACAATTCCTCGTCAATAGCACACGAAGCATCACACCATGTCGACGTTAACTCTCAACGCACCCATCTGCATACCCTTTTAATTTTCCACCTGTCAAGTTATCAATAACTCGCCACTTTTGCCCTCGACAGCCGTACGCGGACACGCAATACCCCCCTCGTCCGCGGTAAAAACTGCGGGCAAAAGCCAATATAATATACCGGTGCACGCAAACCAACCCTCACAGTCACCTCTAGGCATCGTAAAATACATTAACTCGGTAATTCCTATGTTTACGCGAGCACTCCCGGCTTCTCCTCGTAATTCATACGGTATATATAAGCAAAAGCGCCGCGCGCGCGTGTTCTCCCCTGTATAATACATATACACCTATAGGCCCATCATTATAAATATTTCCCTAATAAAGCGTGCCTGTGCATCGCCCCGTTACAAAAGGAGGGGAGTACTCTTTGGTACGGCCACATACCGGGTATTGTAATTGCACGAGGTGTACGAGTCAGCATAGTCGACGATGACAGGTCGTGCTGGTGTCGGCAGTTGGACCCGTCGTCGTGCCGGAAACTGCGTTAATATGTACCTACGTGCATGTTGCCGTGGTACATACGACCCATTGTCACGTGCCAGGTGCATATGCATACCCCACCTGTACGTGTGTTACATGAGAAATAAATACATAATATGTGCTTAGAGGTACAACACGGAGTGATGATGTCGGTTTTGATTGCGAGAATACCATACAACGCACATTTTATTTATTGTGCTGTACAATTAATAATATTTGAAATTTAAGTATACGATATTCGAGACAATGTACAAACCGAAGAGTTTGGTGTAGCCCGTAGCGTATCGCTATATCTAATCGAACTGACTTTAGTTGGGGAGACCATACCTACAACGCATGAAATCTAAATCACGCTCTTGTGTAGAAAGTTGAGCTTAATAACAAATTCATGGTCCTACAAGTGGATACTGCGGTTGGCTAGGCTCACGCACGAGCACTAGAAATGCATGTTAAATGTCAATGGAAGTAATAATTTAAAAAATAAAAAAAAATTTACAAAAATAGTAATATATGTACAACTATACGCTTACATCGTCATAATGTGACGCAGTAGTAAGCCCGAGAAACCCATATGTGATTGACCTATACTGCACTGCCGAGAGTATCTTTCAGGCAGATGTTGATAACCGGATAGTAGGGGGGGGGGACAGGAGGGACGAAAGCTAACGAGGGAAAACAGTGGCTGGTTCTTGTTACTCGGGCATCATCTGGCTGCACCTCGACCTATGGGAAAAACGAGACAAGGTCGCGACACTGACTCCTCTTCCCCCGCTTTGCGTGCACGCGTATGGCTAGAGATACATACATATTACCCACGATGTGTGTGTGTGTGCGTGTCTGTGACAGTGACGGGGATGGACGTTAATTTATGTATGTACATACCAGTTGACGTTGCGCGCGTGACAATCGGTATATTTATGTAACTCAGCATTCCGGAAAATAATCGGTGTTCGTTATACCAATGTAATGTATTATACAACCTGGGCAATTTATTTCCTCCCTCTCCTTTTTTTCCTTCGCTCGCTGTTACGGCATGTAACATTTATTTATCGGCTAAACAAAAAAAAAAAAAAAAAAAAATACGTCTCAATCATTAATCATATCCTATTACAATAGAGGCTCACCATCTGAAATATCGTATCGTATGGCACATGGAAAATAGAAGAACAATGGGTTGCTAAAATTAATATACCCTCAAAGACAATCTGGAGCAGTAGAATCGTTCCATAATGGGTGTATACAGACCCGAGACTGCGAAGGCAACAAAACGGGACCGATTCTTCCGTGGTATCAACGCGAAATCCAAGAGGTACAGAGGGCCCCGTTACCCCGTCCCGCGATACATCGTTCATAAATTAAATTCGCTCCGCACGGAAAAGCGGAAGGGGAAAAAACATTTCCACGAGAAATCACGATCCGATTTTCATGGCGCGATAATTTTCTTGAAAAAAAGATCGAGTCGGGCGAACGGGGTGGAGCGAATATATACACAGCATAGCAGTGGATGCGTGAGAATCACGCTATATGTGCAACGGTGTACATACGCGCTACAATGGTATACGGTGGAAGTACACAGGTATACACGGTCGCACAGCGGAGGGACGATGAGATATAGAAGAGCAGGAGATCGAATTAAGCGGGTGTCGTTACCAAGTGGCCGGCTGGTATTGGGCGTTGGTCGCGCCCAGATATACGTGTAATATATATATGCATGGGTGTGCATGTGTGTGAGAGAGAGAGAGCGACGCCAGTGCAGTGCACGAGAGTTGCGTAACCGAGCGCACAATTGACAATGGCTGGACACGTGTGCGTTTTATGCATTTCATACAATCCATATGTATGCACATACGGGATGTCCTCTACTTTTGCGTTCACTTGCACGTGTGCAGCGGTCTCCGATGGCTCTCGGTCTCCGTGTACCCTGTACCTCTTGTACTTTCTTTTGCTGTACTTACAGCCTCTCTTCCGATTCTGCTGGTCGTCAGTTCGCGGTGTCACCGAGAGCTCGAACGAGAATTTATGTGACATTGTCTTTAAATGGCACTGATGCTATATACTTGGTTCCGAATAATAGACTTGCCGGACGGTATAAGTTTGGGGCGTTGGCTTTGATTATTTGATGGACGATGTTTTATGGCCTCGCG